GTGACTGATGTTACATGCCAGATAACGATGGTCAGCCAGTGAACGGACAACATCAAAAACTACTATGTAGTCCATAAGTAACTGTGCCTTCTTGATAAGGATTTGTGATCGCGGCCCAGACTTTCTTCTTGATTCTCGGAGGCCTAACCCAAAACAACCAACTGGTCATTTCCAAGTGAACTATCGCCCGATGTCGCCTGGTGTGATTTTGCTCATTACTTCAGCAAGTTGGTAAACAATGCTTCGAAGGACAGGACATCACGCGCGATGAGAGTTAAGACATTGATACGCAGCAAGATGTGGAAGTGTATGCTCATACGAGATTCACTCTGGCAAAATTACAGAGGTCACTGGGTGCCGAAACATGGGAAGCCTACACTATCTAGCGAAATCATTTTGTGAATCTCGTACGCGAGGAAACGCTAAAACATAAATAAGATCTAGCCGATAAATTCTCCCCAAACCCCAAGTTCCTTTACGGACATGCTAATCACCATCATATGCAGCGAGGTATTCCTGCCCTCCGCACGCCAAGCCCATAAACACAAACTGTAACAGAAGCAGCCAACGCCCACGTAATTAATTCTCTCCAAACTTTCAGAACCCGGCTTCATCATCTACGTGGTTCACATAGACTATACCACTGCAATGACATAGTTACCTCTCATTTATGGCTGCAAAGGTCTTAAAAAGGTTAATTATCTACGCCAGCATACATCTACCGGTGCTGATAATATCACCCCAAAGGCACTAAAGTTAGCTATAATGAACTTGGCAGATCCACTCTCGCAGTACTTCTAACGACGTCTCGAGGAGATGCGAGTTCCAGCAATGCGGAAGCACGGAATCGTCACACTTATTCACAAGGGGGAAATCGCTCAGATCCCGCCACTTATTGCCCGATAACATCGCTTCCGGTACGCTCTAAATTCATGCAGTCTGTTATTGCCGAATGATACAACATGATAGCACCGAAACAACATTATTCCGGCTAACCGGTCTTCCACCACAAACGTGCTACGCTCTCGCTTTAGTTGAACTGAGACCGTCAACCGCGGTGGGGTATTTGACGCAGTTTAGCTGGACTTCTTAAAGGAGTTCGACCGTCTGAACCACCGCGTCCTCGTTCACAGGCTTCAGAGCTGTGGAATTGTTGACTCATTGCTCGTCTGGATAAATAACATGGATTCAACGACATCTGAATGTTAGAGTTCGCAGCGGCATCTCCGACTTTATCGATGTTTAGTGCGGGGAGCCAAAGCGCTCAGCACTTGGTCCACCCCTATTCCTGATTTACATAAACGATCTCGCGAGTGCTCACTTCCAGTTTCTTACGCTTCACTGATGATCACAAGATGTGGCAGGTCATCAAAACTACGGGTGATCGCGCAGCGCTTCAGGATGGCCTTGATGGGATATACGAATGGGTAACACAGAACCTGCATCATTTCAACGCCACTATTTGTATCACATTGAGCATACACCGTCAATACACTAGCAAATATAGGCTGGGGATCAAGTTTTGCAGTGCGTTTCTACTTAACGCGACCTAGGTGTGATAGTACAAGAGGATTTTGACTGTTCGACTCAGGCCGAGAAAGTATCCAAAAAACCAACCAACACCTTGGTCCTTTGCGAAGTGCATTCGGGCGTTTTGACCATGCACTCCTCTCTAGAGGTCTTAGTGTTTATGTTAAGCACTATTCAGTACACGTTATCTATGCTGACATCTCTGGCACATGCATGGCCACACCGCCCTCGAAATGCCGCAACAAAGAGTGAGCAATGAAGCAAAGAGTCTGTTTAACCTTCTTTGCCGAAAACCCTGTGGGTTTACAGTTGGCAAACTCGACGCAGGCTTGGCGATTGGATAATAACTAATTTGATCCTGAAAAAGCAAAATCATGAGTATCATCACTTTCTGAACCTGCATCCCAGTACCACTCTGAGAAGTCACCAAATAAAGCTGGCCACATAGTATAGTCGGTTATGATGCCGCCAGCTTTGTGTTTCACTACATGTTTGCCAATCGTAGAACGCCCTCCTCACTTACTGTATTCACAAGACATCTCGATGACACATACATTTATATTACGCCATATAGCCTCTTATATCCGGGCGTCAACATGACACTGCCAATCAATGTGCTCATTTTTTATTTTCCGCACCCCATCTATTAAACGCTGATACTGTGGGTACTGGAAGCAGCACACGAGCCAGTGCCGTCACATATTTTTATATTTACGCGCCGATTACGTGAGCTATAGCTGCTCCCCGAATTACTTCATGTGCGCCTAATGCAGTCCCGTTTCAAACTATCGTAATGCAGCAGTAAAGTTAAATCAATAGCCATTTGAACTGACGCCTTTTCAGTTTTTATTCAAAGCACTCCATGGGACTTGTCAAGCACCTGCTTTTTTACCGATGATAAATCATTGTCCATTGTTTATTAGTGACATTGTGCGGAATGGAGTGCTTGTTGATGAGTGGGTTGGGACACCTATTTTCATGCAGGGTGCTGAATATGAGTTTTGTTTCGTTTTCAAGCGTCCCAGCGCTGTAGACAGCCTTTGCGCGATGGCAGAGACAAAGGACAAAAGTTTCTTGCATCTCAGCTATACAAAATTGTGGAAGTGGGTGTATTGACCTACTATGTTGACTTGCGGAAGACCCTCATTTAGGTTGTTCCAACTTCATGCCTGTGTAGTAGAACCTCTAGGTAGGCAGTCAGCCATCAATTTCTATTTAATTACTGAATCACAATGAAGGATGCACTCGGCTAAAGTGATCTTGTAAGCTAACGCAACCAATGGATGAGTCATAGACAGTGCATGTGTCATCCATAGAACGGTAGTACGAATTAGGTGCAGCAATGAGGTGCCCAGCACTGGTCGCGTGTGCTGTTGCGTATGCGTTCTATAGTCCGATTGAACAAAACACTGATTAGTATTCCATACGGCATTATTAACGAGCTGGACAATATGCTCTCTTCAATGAGCATCCCTCAAATATTTGCCAAAGTTTTCACGAGCTTGCTTGTGTTATGACTTTCCTTTATACTTGTAGATATCTGAAGAGATTTGTCCTTGAAGAACTAGGCAGAAGTCAATAGCTTCACGCAAAAGATGCTAGTGAGGTACAAAGGCGTTCTGCATTTATGCGCGTCGAAAAATACGCTGATGGGTATTCGCCAGACTGACACTAAAACGCTTCGTCCGTACAATCGTATTTTCTGCGCCAGGTCCACCCAAACAGCAAAAGTGAAACGCATGGATCTTAATACTTCATTTAGATACATTTCATGAGATAAGAATTTAATCCGAACCCCGAATGCAACCAAACAGTTGAGTCCGACATTATCATCAACAACAATAGGCAGTAGACTGTCCTCAGTGATAGCGTATAATCATTAGGGACTGTCGGACAAATTGTTATACTAAATTCGTGTTCAACAGATCAATTCCGGAAATCTGTCCCCGTCGGTAATGGCTGCGTGCGTTAGCAAAAAATTGAGTTCCATCAAGTCTGACATGCACTTAACATAACTTGCGAGTGTGGACCAAAATAAGATAGAGGTTGTCTAAGATTTAAAAATCTATAAAGTTGCTCTTTAATATCATCACCATACTGATGATTATTGGCTTGCAACCAGAAAGAGTGAACTTCATGGAATTATAAGTTATACGACTATACTGCCACTCAAAACTGTCGGCCCGGTACATGAGTAAGCTACACTTACATGACCTTTTAAAGTGCCCCGTGTGAAGTATTCGGGTTCACCATGAACGGGGCGAAGCTGGATTTAGCCATTATAGCCTATGAGATCTAGCAGCAGAGGAATGAAAGAAACATATACCTTCCCCTGGTTACATCGGGAAAATTTAATGACTACTGTACAGATTGTAAAATCGCGTCGTTCGGCTAAGAGCTATTATTTATTAAGTGACAAGGACACGATCAAAAAGTCACGATGACGGCGGGCGGAAAACAGGCGTTTATTCAGTACAGTGTAGCCTATTTAAAGGAAATAAACACTGTTAATCTTCGAGCCTTCTCAGTGGGTCTCCTGTTTTTCGGCTCACCTCATTGGTTGCGTTCCCCTTTTATTTCATTGGGTTATGTTATTCCTCTGCGGTTGCTGTCTTCCTATCTCGCGCAATGATCACGTCTTTCGTGCTTGGCATCTAATTGGCCGTATTTCTTTGGACCGCTCATATTTGGCTTTGCACTCTGAAACTTGCCGTTAATAGCGATTCTCGAGTTGCTTGTACACCCTCTATATTCTATTGTCCAATCCGGTTTGTCGGTTTCTGGATACGGGTGCCACTCGTGATTCGTTGTCCAGCCATCGCTGTGTCTCCCAGTGGGTTCACGCGTTCTCTCGATCGAACTGATCCCCTGGCTCCGGTAACCTGCGCTTAGGTGGTAAGGTCGAGCATACTGGACCAGTTTCCTAAACCCCGTTACATTATTGTGTTCGCAGGCTAGCTTTAATTCCACCCATGTAGGCATTTAACACAAACCTTCTTTTTACAAAATTCAATATGTTAGTGTCTGTAAATTGGCGATTTTTATTAACTCTTGCTGCTCTCCACGATGCCAGCAACTGTCAAAATCAATTTGCGCATTATTTTTGCGAATTATTTTCTTTCGTTCAGATGGCGAGATGCTTTCCTTGACTAATATATGGCGAGCTTCCTGTCTCTACCGCCAAACGGTCCAGTCGTCTCTCGTTTAACAACTTAGTTGCAACACGCATTGAACGACTTAATTATTGGGTTGGTTTTCGGAGATATTTTTGTTATATTTTTACAAGATATGTAGACGCTTCTTCGGTGCATTGTGAAATAATGTAACTTGCCAATTTTTATGGAATAGCAACGTCTTGAAGACAAACCGTCTGCATTCTCTGTTTCTTTCCATCAACAATAAATTTCTGATTATACTAGTGTACATGCCAGAGCATTACGGCAGTTTTGAAACACCATGCTTAAAAAGACTTACGTCATGGCTTGGAATATCGGCTCGATGCCGTAGCGCAAAGCAAATTCGTCCACCACCTCTTGACCGACATCATTGAAGTAAACGCGCCAAGCATCTTTGTTATTCTGTTAAACAAATAAGATCAAGATTTACTAATACATTGTTTCCACCGTTGGCTGGGTAAGTTTGTTTGCAAATAGTGCAGGTAATAAAATCACGACGCAGTACTGTTCGCAGTAGACTTTCAATGCTGAGTGATGGGACGTAGCAACGGAGGATAGTTGTCGCTACACGAGCTGAGTCGAGGTTGTGCAACATACTGTTATCTTGAATGCGCATATCGTCGACTCCCATTGGCCCACGTTCACTACAAGACAGGAAGTGACGAAGTTCGTTCTACCCCTGCTATTCGGTAGTCCGGGTCTTAATTGGCAGCTATTTTCTATACATCGTAGAACGGGATTTCTTGACCACCATTTTTAAGTGAAAGACGTGTAAACGGTTGTCACCGAACACAAGCAGTGAGACACGTGCGCAACGGGTGCTTCGCGGTTGATCGACTGGAGTTGTTGCATGTTTGCATCAGTGCAGTTCAGAATCAATGGCTAGTTTACAGTTTTGTTAAGACCAGTGCTCCGAATTAACTGCAGATGATACAGTTGTCGAGCTTCACAATCTACAGGAAGAACACTTGCAACTAACAGACTTTGCTGATTTTTCAGAGCGACCCACGTGTCTCTTTCAACACTACAAGTACCGAGCTGATGACGAGCGTGTACTGGGTTACCCATCTAGAACTATCGATCCGCCGGAATATACGGGAGATGTGAGGTTGAGAGCGGTTTGATGCACTTCTGTAACAAAACCGCTGATCCGATTTGGGGCATTGGGATTGGTACAACTGTCATTACTCTCTGACAGTCTGTACCACGCTTTCCCTACCGTTCTTCTCACTACAGAGACGGTCATGGTACGTCAGTTTTGCAGTGGAAGCAGTTGCATGCAGCTTCAAACTGAGTGATGAGCAATTTGATTGACGGTATGCAACAAGGGTTACCCCGGCATTTGAGCAAATATGCAGCATAACCCAGCAACGCGAACCTATACCACGGGTGTAGTCTGTATGGAAGGGGCAGAATAGACACTTTTAATTCCTGTCGATAGGCTACACAGATGCTGTCAATCATGATTGATCCTTCTTCTGGAAATTGGCACTTCATTTTTATCACGCTGCAAGTCACGTTTAAGAGATTCTATTCATGCCAGCAACAGAATGATGTGGGTTTCAAACATAATCAACCGAAACGTGGACTGAAAGCTCATGTGAGCCAACCGCTTGGAATCAGTTGCAAAAGTGACAAGCTATTTTAGCATTTGGGTTGCTAAAAACAGATTGATCGAGGGACTAGATAACCGAAATGACGCTGTTTCAAATGGTACCATGCTACTAGCGTTGTGCCTTTAATCAGTGTCTGGATACACCAACTAAACATTAATCCGCTTTTCGCATAAGTCAGAATGGGCCGTATTATGCTTTGCTTATTACTAAAAGAGCATGAGCTGCAGATGAAACAGGGTAGAACCAAAGTCCTCACAACTTATTTGTGTATAAACTGTGCGTATAGTAAAACACATTACGATCGCCTGTGCCACGACAAACATGCTGTCCATAATCATTTTTGAGCGAACAGCCCTCAGACAGCAGATCGAGTGGAAAGATTTGAGATAACAATCGAGTGATTAGTTTCGGCCAGATGCGCGGCAATCGCAGCGGTACAGCCTTTAACTAGTCCACGACTCGGCGACGTTTGAAGAGACTATAGGACGCTTTCGGCTAAACGTCTTGCGGTGCGGTCTATATGGCCTGTGCCAAAGGAATAAATATGTTGGTACACACAAAAGGAGGTGGCATCCACAGACAATTTATTCCGTAACTGTAGAAATAGCACGGGTGTGAAACCAAAGCAAATTCGTAGCTGTTCGGGGAGCCACGTGTTCCTGATTGTATTTTTATGCCTTGTACTAACACCTGTGGCTGGATTATCGGCTGCGAAAAGCCATGCGAAACATACAGGTTACTTTTACATCATCTGCACTTTAATGAAAACGGTTAGCACTCAGAGAATTCCGGTCGGGTTTATGCGGCACGTGTTTATAACTGGTACTAGCAAACTTGTTCCATATATTGAAGGAAGCGGCACTTTACCGTAGAATTAGTGCTCGTTTACCTCTTCGTAGCAACGATCGAGGTCTGCCCACGTGACACAAATTGATGCGAACATCAACCAACGTCAGCGATTGATCGACTAGGGGAAATCTAGAATGAGCAATGGTTAAACGGAGGAACAATTCTTCCCTCTACAGTCATGCACCTTGTTATATGGCCCCTACTTAGGGCTACTTAGGGAACTGTGGATGCTTTGCTGCGAGACAAATGGTTTCAAGCGAATGAGTAGAAGTGACGGTTATTGGATACGACCGGGTGCCTGTCTGTCCGTTAAACCTTATATCCCTGAATGACCAAGTTATCGGAGCTGGAGAAACCGTGGGCTGTGTAAACAATTACAGATCTACTCACTGCATAACTAAAGAGAAAACTATACGTTGCAAAACGGTTATTCTGCAGCTGTTGTTTCACACTGAAACGTGCGTCTGACAATACGTTTAGTTTTTTTCAAATCACTGCGAAACTAAGACTATACACCATGTCCTATCATCGGCTGCGCGTCGGTCACATCGTGTCCTACTGCATATTACTTCTCGGTGATTTTCCCATGTTGAAGCCCACCGTTTCACTTGCGAACGGCAAGCAATACCCGCCGACACCGGTGCAAGGTTGTGGTGCAAGATATAAAGCGAGTTCCCTACCATCCGTGCCTCGAGCGTAGAGTAATAAATGTTTAGAACAGTCCGCAGAACAAGACGTGGAAGCCAAAGTTGTGCAGCAATGCAAATATTTGCAGGATTTGCATTTCAGCGCCATTCGATTCGGAGAACGATTGCATATTGGCAATGACCTGTTGCATTTATGAGCACAATGGTACTGTAAGTCAGACATTATCGAACGCTACATAAGAAACTGGAGAACGCTTATAGTATCAACAGCTGGCTGCTACCTTTTATGACATTCTTGATTATATTCCCATGGAGTTATACAGATTTAAATATCCGATTGCTTTCACAATACAGTATTAAGCGGTCGAAAATTTGGCAGACTACTGGACCTATTCACTTGCCCTGTAGAAACTGATCAGAGACTGTCACCGTTTGGGAAAATTGCGTAGAATCGTAAGCTTAAGACTGAGGATGGCACCGGAAGTAAGTATCTGCGAGCGAATAATAGCGCTATACGCGTTCAACCTTTTAGCAGGCTTTATAACAATTGACGGTCCGCTGCTCTTGAACTTTACTTGATTGCCAATAGCGTCAACAACATTTCGAAAGTAATTTCCTCCCCAGCTGACACATCTATGCTCACCAGTGAGATCGAATGTCAAACTAACTGCTTATCCTAAATCGATAAACGAAAACTCACACCTTGCTAGATGCCCGCATGCCTTATCAGAACTGGGACCAGACGTGTTTGCTACCACCAGACTGTCATTTTCTTGAGAGAAGATTGTCAGGAAAGGTTGCGTCATATACCGTAGTCGGCATACAACCAGTGACGACTATACTCGTGAACAGAAATTATTTGCTATGGGTTTGACCATCTTTCCATCATCACTTGACTCACCGTGTTCGATTGTATTGTTGCCCGTTCCGGGAGATAAACTGGAGGATGTTGGCCGCAAAGGTAGCAGAAAATATTCTTTGGAAAAGGTAGAGAACATGAAGCAAACAAAGTTAGCGATGCGTAGCTTCATTGTATCAGTCACTTATTCTGTGGTTGATAGTAATATGGAAGAAATCCCTACGACATATAGTGCTTCAGATATTTACATATGGCAAATCGTGCATCTGCTGTGTTATTTGCGCGACGAACAAATGCAGGCTATTCCGGGATGAGCGGCACCATACCACTAACCTTAAATTGGTTATGGCAGCAACTGAGCTCACCCAAAGTTCCTACTTGATAAGCAAACGTAATGACTGGAGCCAAACAGGGTTCAGTTGAAGTAGACAATGTGACTTGATTTCAACCGGACAAAGTACTGGCTAAACGGAGGAATATTGGGTGTTGCCAGTTTAGGAAACACTGCACTCGAAGTATCCTAAGTTCACTTCAGTCCTAACCGCGGTCCACAATGAATTTGCGCGTCGCAACCCACTCACACAAATTGAGCCTAAAAATGATCCTCGCACTTAATAGTTGGGCACTTTCCCGAATGCCTGGCACCCATATGACTAAGCATAGTTGAGGGAAAAATCTTAAGACACTCTAATAGCAATGAGAAGTAGTTGGTCAAATCAATGACTTGAAGTTCTATGTCGATTACATTTGCTTGGAGAATGGGAGTTGGATGTAGGGCCTGAAACCAGGAACACTGCTAGGAGTCGTCGGGCATTATTGCAGTGTAACTCTGTCTATATTGTGACTGCATATCTGATACTCTAAAACCGCGATTATCTAACAATCAAAGTACTTGTGGTATAACGATAAGTTCTAAATTCCACTTTCGATTCCAGACGCTTTTAGCTGTAGCGTTCAAACGAGGATGAAAACATCCGTGCAGTGCAATGTGAGGTACGAGAAACCCAGAAAATTCTTCAATCTCAGAAATCGTAATGAGATAGATCTACTTTAGAGCAACTCGTGATCCAACTTATGACTGCGCGTTGCAGTCCAAAAAAGAGAGCGAGTCGGTTTTCCCAGCCAAAGTGGTAGGCAAAATGTGCACTCGAAAGGCAGCAGGAATTGCGTCATGAATCAAACCACTCAAGCGAATGCGTCCTGACGCCAAGACAGGCGTAGTGTTCAACTTTAATTCTACCGGGAGGTCGATAAGAAAAGACGCAATGGTCAGGAGACCAGCGGGATAATAGAAGCAGCGGTTCATTTAAATGTCTGGACATCGCGACTATAAGCCACAGTAAAAAACTGCTTATATATATATATATATACATATATATGGCTTGTGGAGGATAAGACGCGTATTATCACAGTTGGTTTGTACATCATGACGGTCCGAAGCTGCCCCGCATGACCCAGTGGCATAAACTGCTGACTGGCGGTGCAAACCGCTGGTAATTTTGGGTTCGGATCCTGATGGATCCGATGGATACGCACTACTGATTATGCCCAACAAGCTGAAAGTGTAGTCTAGCGCTTTTCCGGGCGTGTGAAAGACTATCTGATTTGGAACTTGGCTGTGACGAACCTCAATTATATATATATATATATATATATATATATATATATATATATATATAAATATTTCACGGAAGTGAACTAAACACTAGTTGGTTAAATGGAGATGTACGCCACCTGGGATCATCCTGCACTGTGAATCAAGGAACGCCTGCTCTGCGAATGTGAATTTGAATAATACTCTGCTCTTCTCAGGCGACGTGAGTAGGGTGTCGTGGACAATCAGCGGCAGAGTCTTGGTGCGCGGGGGTTGTGGGTTTGTCACCTTATGACACATCAAATACCACAAGAGCTCGTAAGACACTGTGTCAAATCTATTTGGGTCAGTTATAGAGTCACTGATCACTCACTTCTGCGCCTAGACGTGAGTATCCAACGGAAGGCGGATGAACAACTTCGAAGAATACCGGCTTCTACGAAGGCGTATGACCCAATTGACTTTCAACGGCTTTCCTTTTCCAGACGAATTCAGTGGTCCAAGTACATTCTCCTAGCCTCCGATCTGGTGTATTTGGGTTCCTTTAGCGTCCTGACTAGTTTGTTTCTATCCGAAAATCATGTGATCACTGTGATAGCCGGCTCCCAATGGTTTGCGATTTACGTCAATAGCCCCGTTGCCTAGCAACTCAGGTGTTTATGACCGAAGGCTCCCGGTGGGAGCCACTAACTGCATCCTCTTTCTCGGCCTGGGCTATCGGGAAGCTCCATGTCAACATAACGCATTGAACAATGTTTCAATTATTTGCTTCTCTCTCTGCTATTTGACAAGGTTCCGGCAGGCGAACGCGCTACATCACGCACTAACGCATCACCGACCAATTACTTTGTTGCACCTTTTTTCAACCTCCTAATCCTTGGTAATCGCCCTACGTGTCCGAGTCCACGAAACCGTCCCAAATTCAAACCGGCAACCTTTAACGTTCGGACGCTGACGCAGGTCGTATCACACTCAGCCCTTCCTCGCAAGCTAGTGACTACTGCTGCTGATGGTTGCTGCCTCAAGGGAATCCGATTACAGGACCCTAGCATGACGCTACGACTGGTTTCAACGTTTGAGAGTTCCGATGGTATCTTTCCTCTATGTTTACCTGGAGAATCAACAGTTGAAGCCGCTGGTCTTGCCGGCGTGGGGATTGCAATGGCACATGTGCTGAGGCCGGGCTACTATAGAATAGATCCCGTCAACAGTTTACTCTGCATGATGCGACTTGAAAGCTGAAGACGACTGTCAAGCCAGAGAGTCCGTAGACGTTACATGTTCGTCGTAGTAGTGTTCCCCCCTATAGATTGCAGCGCGGAGTCAAAGACTAGTTCTGCTGTCAACTTCCAGGCCTGCTTTGAAAATAGTGCGATACGTGTAGCAGAACTCAGTTCTCCAGGGACAAGCATCTATTCGGTAAAGTCAAATCAACGAAAAATACGACATGTTTGGCAGCGTGATTTGCCCTATTCGTTTAATGACATTAGGGGCTGTCTGTTGTTTGGTCACCGCTGCCTTTGGAACATTGCTGGTGGCAACCACACATTAATAATGAGGTTGTTCGTCATAGGAATTACAGATAAGACATTTTTTGCCTGCTGTTGAGCTGCACAATTTTAATGCGCATGCTTCGGTGGCTTGAGTAGGCGCTTCGCACGTCTACTGAGCGTTTACCTCGCCGTGAGTACTATACGCGCACATATGTCGGCCGGAAGCAAAAACATGTTAGCCCACGAACAACTTTGGGCAAAAGTATGAAGGCGCTGATCTCAAATTTGGCCTTGGTCAACATCCAATAGCCATCCAATGTTTAGCGAAATTCGCAACTTGCTACTGCCCGTGCTACTAGCCTCAAACGTTAAACTTGCTTCTGTCCCCTTACCATCAGTGTTATCCAGCATCAAATTCATAGCAACAATGGTTCTGAAAAAGCTGCTATCCTTGCGTACACACAGCTTTCCTGGTGTGCATAAGTTTCACCCTAAAGCAATGCAGGCAGAAACCATGCACTTCGCCCAGCCACTTACCGGATTCTTTCAGAGAAGTCCGTCTGATCCTACCAATTACCGTCCGGTAACACTTCTCTCTGCCCTTTCCAAAGTCATGGAAGTGATCATCGTTGTCGTAATGACGGTCTATTTGGTAAACGTAGGCAATGCATTATTGGGATGGGTTGGTAATTTCCTCCGTGAACAGCAGTTCTAGGTTAGAGTCCGAACATCCCTGCCTGACCTTACTCGAGTGGAGTGCGAGAGCCATCCCCCAAAATTTTACTTTTCCGGATGACGTTAAAAGTTGGTCTGCCACCAAGGTAATGCATTACCACAAGATCCTCCATGTGCTACCTAGAAGGGACCTGGCATTGACCGGTGAGGATTTCACTGCCGTTAAATGTGGTCAAGTGACACATTATCCACATCCGCCATAGACACGCCTATCTTTAGAATATTGGGGCATATTATCTGCAGACAAGCCCTCAGGAAGTTGACCTAGGTGTGCTGGTGCAGGATGACTTCGGTTATTCCAGACAGCCGGAATCCAAAAGTGGTAACCAGCACGTTGTTAGCTTGCGGATTGCATTCGAAAGTTTGGATTCATTCATCTGCTCTATGATGTTCCATGCCTACTTGCGGTAACACGTGGAATACGTAATCCAGGCTTGGCAAGCTTGGCTAAACCGTGACCTTGCAGCGCTTGAAACTCACCATGGTCGAGCAGCGACTAAAAACACGCAGTGTTCAGTAGACGCTACAGGGGCTACGTGGAGACCACATATTAGTCTATCACATACGAAACGACCTCACGTACACATTTTGCCACCTACTGAAACTCATCCCGAACACTAACTTCACAGGCAGTAGCCTGAAACTGAGTCAACAACATAGTCGGCTTTTCATTAAGGCTGCACGAACCTCGGCTCATAGCGACTCAGTGCTTCCGCCATAAGTAGCCATCGAACGTTTCGGTGCCAACGCTGTTTATGTGCTTAACGACAGGCTGGACGTTAATAATTCTATCCGACCGGACGCATCATTAGCACTATTTGCCAGCGGACCAGTTTAGTCGGTAACACATTTGTGAAAGAGGATAAGTATATTAACAGAAATGTATTGGAACGATCATATATACTAGTGAAGGATATGTTCAAAATATCCGCCGGCATTCTGCTTGCAGTGCAGAAACCGCTTGATGTAATTGGCGAGAACTTTCTCCAATGTATTCCTCGTGATCGCGCGACTTTCGTTCACAATATTTTCTTTCAACTGGTCCAATGTACGCGGCCTTGTTTCGTACACTCGCCGCTTCAGATAGCCCCACGAAAAAAGTCCTTGGGGTTCAAATCTGGTGAGCGAGCAGGACACTCAATTGGTTCACCGCGTCCGATCCAATGGTGGCCAAATTTGTCGGTGAGGTAAGCGCGCACCGTTTTAGCAGAATGCGCAGGTGCACCATCCTGCTGCCACCAAATGGTAATGCATTCCCCTTCGCCCTCCAACTGGGGAAGAACAAATATCTGCAG